AAGTGGCGACGTGACAGACCCGAAAGTTTATTTCCATAATGAACCAAGTTCACGCATGACTGAGGTTCTCTACAATGGTTAACGTATATAAATCTCATACCAAACCATCCATCTATCTATCCATTGCTATCCCAAGCTCCACGGGGAAGGTTCTGTCTAGCCCGAGAGGCCGGAATCAACGGAATTGCCTAAACTCGCCGGCCAGAAAGCAAACCATGTTCTGAGGTACCGAGTTGCTCGTGTTTCAATGTGCAAATGGTTCAACGTGGCTCAAACGGCAATAGTAATTCGATGCCGGACGGTTGAGGATGAAGTCTACAAGTACTAGTACGAACGAAGCAGTCGTTCACGTTATGTTTGTCTTACTGATACTTTGGAAAGCCTATCAATCTCTCGTTCGTTGCTGGCGCCGGACCTCTTTGCCTGCTCCATACCTCGTCTGGGTCTGCTAGTGAGTATATTGGTGACCCTAACTGAGGTCGATGGCGGTGGGTAGGACAATGGATGTCAGCGTGTGACTCTGGAGTACGCGCCCACTCCATTTTCAAAGAGGTTTGACCCGCTGATGGTAACACGGCGCTTCGTTTGGTCTGTCTGGGCTTGTGAACGATCGTCGATCGCTGAATGAGGTGCCCTAAGCGGGTATGCCCTTGGCTTCAAGCAGAAGGCTCTGCATGGTAGCGTGCTTGTCGTCTGTCTCTGTGTTTGCACATCGTATAGGCATGCACGCTTTTCGCGGCCCTTGGGAACTTCAAGTTGAAACTGCAATCTACGATTTCTCGCTTCCCGCCTTCTGCACACAGTTGTCCTCGAAAGATTCGGCCGCATACGCTGAGATTCGATCCTTGGCCTTCTCGCAGTTCCATGAACCAGTTCGTAGCGTTGCATGCGCGCCGTCGGGTCGCTCCGACGGGTTGACACGCACGCGTCTTCTCTCTGCTTCGTCATCTTCTCGGTGACGTCCTGAGCGAAGGTCGAGACCCAACTTCAAGTCGCTTACTGCATGGTCTCTACCCCGGTCGTATACATATATATGGTGTCCCTGCTACCTCTCAATTTCGATTGTGCCGTCTCGCAAACGTCAAAAGTCACGTTTCGGTGATGGTCGCTCGTCGTCGTCTCCATTCTCGTGGCCATACGAAAACGATCTTGGCGGTACTTCAATCACGGGAAATTTCAGAGCACAACCTTTTTAGCCAATCCCACGCGCGTATTTCCATGACACTCGACTTTTGCCCAATCACATGGAGGCAGCTTTGGCAAGCGTTTCACACCCGAGCGTCGCTTTTTCTACTTTTTCTGCGTTGCATACAAATAGCAAGTAAACATTGGAAATTGCATTAAAAGACGCTGCATTTTCGCATTCCCGAGTGCATTCTCCAATTCCCATCCTTCCTCACACGATCATGGCATCGTCATCTTCGTCGTCGACCTCGGCCTCTCGATGGAGCTTCCTGCCGTCGACGTACTCCCTCCATGCATGGCTGCCTGCCACGACCATCGCCCAAGCGACGCCGACGCCGTTCACCAAGGACGCCGACGTGGACGGCTGGGTCTTCCTCGGCAAGGAAACCGACATCAAGAGCTTCACATACGCCGACGTCGCCGCCGGCAAGCGCGAGCAGGTCATCGACGAGACCAACAAAGACTACGTCTGGCTGCCGACGCTGCCTGATACGACGCGATAAGCGCTTCTTTCTCTATCCCGATTAACTTATATACCCATAAAGATTAAAGACGACTTTTTTATACTAGTATGAAACACGCAAGCAGCAGCCTCACGCCTTGGTGAGGTACCCGGGCGGAAGGTACCGGAGCAGCTTCTCGGGCACGAGGTCCTTGACGTCGGCCGGCGCCGCCTTGTGGAGCTCCATGCGCTTGAGGATCTCGCTGTCGTCGTT